TATTATTATTATTATTATTATTATTATTATTATTATTATTATTTAATAAATACTATTATCATCACATAATAATATTTTAATAAATATATAAATAATATCATCGTGACCATGATGTCATTTTATCATGGTAATCTTGATCGTCGTAATTATGACCATCATAATTATCTATCGTCATCGCCATTTATCTGTGTGACTGTATGTGCCTGTGTGTATGTGCGTGAATGTGTACACGATGAGGAGATACACGTATATGGTGCTTTTTTGCTCTTATAGAAAAGATAAAAATATTCTTCATCACACCCCTACAACTACCATCATTACCCCACCCTAAGCCCCTCTTATTATGATTGATAATTAATTATGCGTGCGCTTTATGACGGCGAATGGTTGGTACCACGTCCGACATACAAAATAAATAAATAAATACATAAATAAATAACTACATATACCAAAATTCGTAACTCGCGGTATGCTGTCCGTTTTGAATGTACCAAAGACAATGTCGAATTAAACAAAAATATAATAAATAAAAAATAATTATTATAACAAATATATAGATTATCCACAGGAAAATGGAGAGCCTAGTATTCTTTAAACTAACAATAATAACCGAGAGAGAATATTATGAACTTAATTCTATTGAACGATAATAAAAACAAAAATAAGAGAAGGTAAAGAAAGAGAACAGAAAAATATAAAAGATAGAAAGAGAGATCATTGATCGGCAATGTTACATTAAAAAATATTGTTATTATTTTTGTAAACACACAAAAAAAACATGTACATGTATTTAACATGCTCTTTGCGTGTGAAAGCTAAATATGTTGATTATTATTATTATTATTAGTATTATTATTATTAGTATTATTATTATTATTAATTATTAATTATTAATATTGCTACAATTATAATTAAAAAATATTATCATCATTTGTCCTTGACACATCACTATCATTATTAATTATTATAACTATTATCTCTCCTTTATTATATATTATAAATATTTTTCATTATTAATATTATTAATTATTATTATTATTATTCATTGTCATTATCATTTTCATGATTCATTGACCGTTATTTTTCGACGTCATCTTATTNTAATATTATTAATTATTATTATTATTATTCATTGTCATTATCATTTTCATGATTCATTGACCGTTATTTTTCGACGTCATCTTATTAAAAAAGAAAGATAAAAAAAAAAAACAAAAAGTAAAAAAAAATACTATTAAAAAACCTTGTAACACCTTGTTTCCCAAAAAATGTTCAAATACATAAATATTGAAACGCATTGTGTGTGGTGTGTATGTTACAGAAAATTTAATATATATTATTAATATATCCTGCGTATGGGGAGAGGAGTGTATGGTCAATCACACGTTCATATATATATATATATATAGATATAAGTTAACTTATTAATTCGTGAGTATTGTTTTATTTCTTTTTTATTTTTTCTCTCTCTCTCTCTCTCTTTCCTCTCTCCCTTTCTCTCTTTAACTATAGTTAAAACCTCGCCTTAACTCAGGAAAGTCATCATTCACTGATATTAGTGTTTCCACGACTAATCAGTCATACATTATTAACTTTCCTGGAATATAAATATATCCCATGGAATAGTTTAAATAATATTTAACTTGTGAGTTATAATTATAAATTCCGCACTATGCATTTATCTATCACTGTAAACAATAATAACAAAAATAGATAAGCTATCTTTGTTTTTCTGATGTGTCCCAAATTCAACAAGTTTTCTTTTCCTCCATTTATATATATGCTATTATTAATATTATTTTATTAAATCAAACCGAATATGGATAAATATCATATTAACAAGCGTTACAAGATGGTATAATATATGTATTACAATTTATGTATATTAAATTAAACAATTCCATATCTGTTACTATCACACGTTATATATTTACACTTTATCTGTATACAAAGCGCACTGCATGGGTGATCTATTATTTCTAATATACATATTATTAAATTAACAAATATTAACTGAGATATATGTAAAAAGAATGATCCGAAACTAACCAACACAAAAATTAGGAATATCAATTTTTCACTATTTTTTACAGAAGAATATTTTAAAATATATAATATACACATATATCACATTTAAAAACAAAAGAAAAAGCGAGAGTAAGTAAATTACAAAAATTTAAATTTAATTATTATATCTACTTGTCAGTAATAATTCTAAATCGTAATTCTATTAATACTTGTCATGTGCACATTAATATCAAAATCTTTTAAAAAAAAAAAAGATAAAAAAAGGAAATGAAGTTAGATTTTAGATATTAATGCTTAGTCTTCTATAAACATTTTTTATCGCGCGTTCGATATTATCAGTATAGTAAAAAATTAATTAAAACGACTATTTGTACGAATTTTTTTTTGTCTAATTAGAGAAGCTTCTAAAAATATTATTACGTCTAATTATATTATTTATTCTTATTGTATACATTATGACGAGGTATGTATTACTTACTTATGTATACATTATGATCTTTAGATTCTATTTGGGTTAATTTTTTTTCAACAGATTTTAAATATTTTTTCCAAAAAGCTCTTGTTCTTAGCCTGAAGAGTGCAGAATATTGATCCATAGTTGAAGCTCTTAAAGGTTCATTTGGGATCCATTTCAATACAGTATTTATAACTTTCATCAAGTCGTGTCTAGATAAACTTAGCAGTGCTGATGCTATGCCTTCCTGTTGATCGTGGGGGCCTAATTTCGAAAATAATAGGAAAAGAAATATTATAGCATTTGTGTGTACTATTTATAATATCAGATCAAATGTTATAATTAAAATATATCAATGTTTTTGTATTACCTTCTCCCGAATCAAGTAAATCTGCAAGTTGTTCGACAGTATTTTTTACAATTCCATCCTTATCTTCTAAAGGGAAAGTACGCATAAGATTGCCTATATGAAAATAAATGTTATTATAATTTCTTATTAGTATAGATATATATATATGATTTTTATATATTTTCAATAAAAACTTACCGAGTAAAGCAAATACCTCCTGGACAAACGCATACTTTCTACCGACTATATTTGGTAACAAAGTGCTCCTTATAATATTATTATGAGTCCATAATACACCTTCCTTTTTTGCAAGCAATATTACAGCTGTTCTCAAACTTTCAGTATTTTCCTTAGATTGACTTCCTACTAATAAAATATATATTTATTGAAACATTTTTTAAATATTTCTATATAGCGTACATAGATATTATATCTTACTTTCAAAAGATCTTAATAATTCTTCTACTAGATTTTTAGTTACGTAACTTCCTTTTTTATAATTAAAATACATTGATAAGAAATTTTTTAAACTTTGTAACTGAGGTAAATGATTAGCCTGTAAAGACATAATACAATGTGCTATGCACTTTGGTAACATATCTGAAATGTAACAATTTATACTTATGATTATTAATTTACTCTTATTATGTTTTATTATATTGTATATTATAATATAAATATACATATGTACATCTACCAACCAGTATTTTCTGTACACTGTGGAAATACTTCTGGCCAACATGTCAATACCGTATAAATAATTGGAACTGCAGAGAATCCGAGACAATATAAAGCATCACAACATAACATTCTAAGTTTTTCTCGATCCTTTTGTATCCTTGTTAGAGCAATGTATACTCGTATGAGATTTTCAATTTGATAAAACTAAATAATTAAATACAAATATTTTCATGATATTAATGATCTTATAAAACTAAAAAGAAAAGAAAAAATAAAGAAAATTAATATAATAAAAATTCACATTAACATACCGTAGGTGTGCAATTCAATCTAAAAATTTTAAATTCGATTCCTGCTTGAACCCATTTTATCACTGTAGGTACTTTAATTTCAAGATCAACTAATAATGCTACAATTTTTTGTTGATCCACTGTCATTAGAGGTGCTGGCGGTGTATAAGTTTTATCTAAATTATCATTTCTTCTTATAAGCACAAAGTTCACTATACCTCTGTAAATAAAAAAATATACAAATATTATACAATCATAATTTTCATTCCATTTAATAAATACATCCTCCAAGAGAAATTTTATAGTATATATCTACGTACTTGGCTATAATACGAGCACTACATGTAGAAGACAATTTTTCAACAACATCTCTATGTACAGGCATAGCCCAATCAGTATTATTTACAATTTTGTTTAATTGCTTCTGAACAAACTTATCTGAAAAAAAAAACAAATTTATCTTTGAAAAATATTTCAAAGATTATTATAATATACTGACAAAAGAGTATAACAATATACCTATTTTTTCATACAATGATTCTTGCTTCTTCAATTCTTGTCTGGACTTTTTCAATCCTTCGGGATGTAAATTTTGTTGTAAATAATTTTCTAATAATACAATGGGATTAACTAAAGAATTTAAATTATTATTATCAGCATGTGTATTATTCACTCTGCTATTCGCGGAAACAACTTTTAAGTCATTGATTATCGCATTATGCGATTGAATATTTAAATTATTATTAGGCTTTGTTGTGTTTATTGAATTTTTAGACATTTTTGCATGTACTTTTCTATTTTTGTAATTATCACTAGTCGATAAATCTTTGTTTATTTTATCCAATTCCATTACTTTGCTTTGCTTTTGAACGCCTGTTTTCTTTATCCTTTTTAACTCACGCATATGTTTGGAATCAATTAAGGCACCTAATCCTCTTACAGGTAATTTTCGTGAATTTTTTGTTACATTTTGCAAATTATTCTCCAAAGAAGATTCACAGGTATCATTAAAAATCTGATTATCTTTTAAAGGACTAAGTAATTCAAAAGTCGGATTATTTATACCTATATCTTTAATTAATTCGTTGCTTTTTTCTGTAGTTATTATATCGCTATTATGTTGTTCTTCAGCGTTAATAATTAAATTATCCTCTTCGTCTAGAGGTATTTCAATGATCTTTTCTGTTTTCATATCAATGTTATTGGATTCTAAATTAAATTCTTCTGTTTCTTTTATACTTCTGTTAAGTATCTCTGCAGTTGCTTCTTCTTCAACGAACATAGAAGTTTCGAGTCTTGTCATTTGTGATTCAATATTATATTCAGAATGGATTGAAGTATCGATTTCGTTCAGATTTAATATTTGTGGTTTTATTGCTACATTTTGAATCGGTTCATTAATATTATTCTTCAAAGACTTTTCACATCTATCTTTAGAAATATAGTTCTCTTTTAGATGACTAATTAATTTAAACTTAGAACAATCTGAATAGATACTTTTTATCATTTTATTCTCTTCATCGGAAATAAGTTTATGACATGATTCAATGTTTTCTCTCTTGGCTTTTTCATTAATATTAATAAGTGCATCCTCATCTTGCATTAACTTCGAGTCTTTTAATGGTGTCATTGTAGTAGTAAAACATTCATCTTTTGTACTCTCATTTATATCAGTAGATATAGAAATCGAATTAGCAGCAAGCATTTGCTCATTTTCCATTAATGTTTCTGAGTTATCTGTTAACTTTATTTGCGTTTCATTGTTAAAAGTGTTGTCCGGCAAATCTTCAATTAAGTCTTTATTTATTGCTTTTAATTCGCTAATACTTTTCACCAAACTTTTTTTCGTTTTATTATCTTTATTACATGCAGGTTTAGGTATACATTTTTCCTTATCACTACTTTCATCTTGTTTAGTTATTGGTTCATTTGAATCGAACAACTTTAAATTTCCGTTTTTAATTAGACGACGAGACCGCATATTATTTATATTGCCCAATAATCTAGTACGACTTTTATTTGTAGCAAATACGCACTTAGATTTGGGAATTTTCTTTATATTAAATTTATCCTGCTTTTTTGGAACTTTCCTGTTATTATTTTGCTTTTCGATATATTTAGTTTCTTTTTTGTTTAAAGATGTACAATCTAATATATTTGCTTGTGCCGCTTCAACAGGCTCATCGTCCATTTCTTGAATTACATTTAAATTTTTATTACTTAATGTCGATATTTCCTGATTACTCATTTCCGCTTCATATATTATACGTTTCTTTTTTTTAAGCACAACATCTGAATTAACTATCTGAACATTCAATTTGCTATTTATTTTTTTTTCACAAATAGTTTCTCTTGTACTTTCAATATTGTGAATACTTTTATTATTTTTCTCCGGAGTTTGCAAATCTTTAATTAAATTCAATTGATTTAATTTATTCTCAAATGTCTGTAATTTACGTTTTCGGTTCTTAACATTGGTATTAATTGCAGTATTATTAGAGGTAGAATCTGAAGTATTTACATGAATTGGAACTTTACCGATTGGATTTGATATATCTTCTATCGTGTTTTCAGTATTATCAGATTTATATATATTGGTAAAAGGAATATTTATTTGCTTCTTAGACACATTAAACTTATTATTCATAGAAATATCTGCACTTAATACGGAAGCTATACTGCTAGTAGGATCTAAATCATTAATAATATCATTACCAGCAACAATAATAGTCTTATATTGAAGAAAAGTGTTATTTTTAAGATTTAATGGTTCTAAAATAAATCGAGTATCACGTACTGGTTGTATTTCTTCAATTATCGTAGAACTTAAACATTGTTTACCATTCAAACTATTTGATTTCGATATATTATCATTTGCAGTTTTAATTATATTATTGCGACATATATCTTTTTCAACATTTGTATTGCTTGAACCATCATCTAACACTAGATCATTGTTAATAAGACTAGGCGATCTATTTAGATGATTATTTGATGTAGAATTATCAGTTCTTATAATTTGTTTATAGCAAGGTACGATTGAATCCACTTTCCAAGCATCATTAGATGCGGACACAATCTTCTGTACTCGTTTGCGCTTTGTCTTTTTTAAAATAAGTTTGCGAGATTTAGATTCATGTTTTTCCTTTCGAATTTTTTTACTGCTACGTGCGGTTTCGTTCACATTATTTAAAACACGTGACATCAAATTAAGCAATGAATTATAGTTTAACATGTCATTATGAAAATAATTGCTGTATGGTGAAGGTTGGAAATAATTATAATCTGGTAGCTCCTTCTTATGAGATTGCTTATTTATCTTTTTTTCTAATCTTTTCATCTGATTTCTTAACTCATTCATATAATGCGTTAAACTTTCAGTAGTTGTCTGTTGTACTAAGTTGACCGAAAGTTCTTCTTTTATAGCATGAGAATTTTGATCTTCCTTTAATGCGGATATTTTGGATAATTCAAATGTACTATTATTGGATTTACTTTTATCTTTTGATGGATTTTGAAAATTAACTCTTTCATCATTCTTCTGATCTATTAAAAAAAGAATCATATATACTTTGTTTTAAATATCAATATACTTCTAGTTATTAGTAAAAAGAAAAACAGTAAAAAATAAACCTTTTTCAACCTCCCTACACGGAGGAATTGGCTCAATCATTTCATTTTTTTTAGTCATTGCCTTGCAAATTGTTTTAATAGGATTAGAAAATAAGCTATCACAATTATCACAAATCAAAGGATAAACATTCATTTTCTTGGTTCCAAAAGACAAATTTGTTATTACATTTTTGTCAGCCCGAGTAATTGTACTGTCATTCATTGTATTCACAGCAACATTTACTTTTGATATTAAATCTGTAAAATACAATAAGATCTAAATTCTTAAATATGCTTAATCAATTCACTTATGCAACATCAATAAATATTATTGAAATACTAACTTTGAAAATTACAATTTGTGCCTTTATCTATCCCTTGCGATTTATTTATCTTCTTTATTGAAGAATTACTATTCTTAGTAATCTTTAATACATGCTCCATTTCTTTGATTTTGTCTGGTAATATAATTTATAAACATGATATAAAAAGATTTGATATAAATATTTATACTCTAATCGTATGTATATATTGCAATATTATTATGCATATATTTATCAGATACCTTTTAATACAGATTTTTCCATTTCCCATTGCAGTTTTTCATCCGCATGTTTATCTTCTACTTCCTTTAATTTAGATGATAATTGATTCAAATGTTGTTGATTCCCAGCAATTTGAATTTCCTGTGTTTCTGTCGTACTCGACATAGATGTAATTTGTTTCTTATACTCTGTATTTTGCTAATAAAATAAATTAATAATATTTAATTATTATATATAAAACTAAATATTCTCTCTCAAATAGATTACTTACAAGTTCTAATTTAATAACTTTTCCCAATACTCCATTATAATCAGTTTTCAATGTTTTAAGTTCTGTATGTGCCAAGTTTAACTCTATATTTATGCGATCACATTCTTTCACCTTATCATTGTACTGTCTAATCAATTCGCTAACAAATGATTATCACAAATAATTATATATGATTATACAACAAGAATATTTATATATAAAATAAATTATAATTATAAGTAATATAAAAATAACTTACTGCGTTCTACAAATTTTTCGTTTTAATAGCAAATAATTCTTTTTTAATTTACCTAATTCGTCATTGTCGTCCTATAATAAAAATATTTAAGATACATTATATTACAAAAAAAAAAAATTATGATCATAAAATTTCAGAATTAGACTTAATTCGAATAATTTTTAATTATTTATATATGTAAAAAATTACATACTATATTACTTACATTTTAAAAACAACTAACAATGAATCGTAAAAAACATAACCTTGACAAAATTGTTATCTTTGAATTAAATGATATTGAAATAAACGTGGTATATTAGATACTTACAATAGCTTTAGAGTCATTATTTGAATTCATAGTTAACATCTCCATTTTAATTAAAATGACAAATTAAAATAAAATAAATTATTGTTAATACTTCTCACAAAAAACAGAGCACGTTTCTTCGGAATTACCGGCATTCTCGTACGATAACAAATGAATGTTTCGGTATTATCGATAGATCGATTATTGCAAACAATATATCGATATGAATTTTTTAACTTCGATATAAGCGGTAAAAATAAACACTCTTCTTACTTTCTGTGACAAATATAGATTATTATAAAAAGAATTATTAAACATAAAATTTACGAATAACATCAAAGAAATATTCGAAATTTATTACAAATAAAAATAAGAAAACAAATATATAAGAAATATCAAACTGTTTAATAAAATTCGGTAATATCTACAAATGTGAAATTGTAAATATTCATACATAACAGTATATATATCTATACAAGGTGTTTCAAAATATAAGTTCAGTAGTGTTTCAGTACATTAAAATAAGAAAAAAAATCATACAGTCATATGCCTAGTAAAACCTTGTTTCCGCATTATAACTTTTTTTTTTATTTTAGCGTATTGAAACAACCACTAAAGTTATACCTGCATATGTGAAACACTATGTATATCAATACAAATAAATTTATAACGACGCGAGCCTTAAGCTCGAAATTTACAGTAAATAAAAAGAAAACATCGAAAATTTTTAGGGAAATCCAATAAAAAAAAAAATAATTAGGAAACATTCATATTTCTTACTTCCATATCATACCTACGAGCCTACAAATATAAAGAATTCTTATAATTATAACTAATTTTATCTATATGTATATATATAATATGTATATAATATTAAATTATATATTTATTAAGCAGCTCACGTATTAAACCCTGTTACTGAATTATACCTAACACTTTTTCTCTTTTCGGGTCTATATATTTCTTTATTAACGAATAAATTTATCTTCGAATGTTAAATTTCATTCATTTATTTTTTTAATGTTATAATTATATATGTTATTGGATATTATAGATTAATTTTGTTATTTTGTTATTGTTATTGTTTCTTTTTCTTCCTATATGAATTTCTTCAAAAGTTCATCACAATGTCAAAGTATCACTTGAAATTATTTTTGTTAATATATTTTTGTTTGTTTGTTTATTAAATTAATTATCATATATATTTCTAGCTAAATATAGAGACCAAAGTTAGAATTATTAACTTACACTTTCTTCTGTTTATTTAGAATTTAAATCGTTCATGCTACTACTTTTTTCTTTGCGCGTTGGAAATGACGTTGTTGAAATACCAACTAATGATAATAGTGGCAGTTCCTTTATACTAGCTGATTTTTTTCTTAATCTTTCGAAAGAAGTTTTACATTGAATTTTATGTAAGTCGTTGTTTGATAATCGTTTAGTTTTCGATGAAAATAAATTAACCGATTTTATTGGTGAAGAATTGGCACTATAACAAGTAGATGTTGATAAATTGTTTAAACTAGGACTCGTAACATTTGTCATTACCTTGTCAATAAGATTAGATTCTATACAATCATATAATTTTGGCATACTGTAATTATGTTTAATGTCTTGTAAATTCTTTATGGCTTTCGTTTGAGATTTTGAATTATTCAAATCCATTTCTGAGATTCTTTTTGATAAATACGTAGTAGACGTATTTGAATTTACTACTTTCTCTGAACTTTTTACTGTTTCGATAGGATAATTTTTTTTGGTATTAGATTCCTTATATAAAGATTTAGTAATATCATTGATATATTTTGATCTTGCTTGAACTGAATTGAAAATATTATGGCATAATGATTGCGAACTCGTTGAACTTGATACCGATGGTACATCGATGAATTTTTTACTTATTTCTATATCTGTAGATAGTTTTTCTAATGAATTCACTGTACGTTCAGAAGACTCTTCGCTTTTTAAATTATCTGTAAAATCAATCGTATTGTTCTTATCCCTTAAATGCATACCACATATATTTTTATCAAGTATGTCTCTTAACTTTCTCTCATCATTCTCTGAATCTTTAATATTAAATGGAGAACAATTTAATTTTTCCATACTAGCTTGTAACTCTAATTCCCATTGATTAGATGTAGCTTCGCTACCATCTACAGATCTTCGGCCAAGATGCCCGTTACACGATGCAATCTTAACATCATCCTGAAATTAAAATAATTAGATATATTAAAATATATCTAACACACTATACGACTGAATAAAATTTTATTAAAAAAAAAAAATAAAGTTTTTATGCTGACATTATCTCGTTGATGGTGAGTATTTTTCCTATATTCATTATCTATAGTAGATGTTATATTTTTATGATTTATATTTTCAAAATCCATTCTGTATGTCATATTATCTCCAGAACTAATCAATTCTGCACCTACACCTGGTTCTCTCGGGCCATTAGCAAGGATATCTATAAAAAGAAGTAACAAGATATATGTTTGCAAGAGCAACATATATTACAAACATAGGCAGCCTTTTTGTATCAATGATACCATTATCTTTTCTTTGTTGATGTATTTGATTACTAATGTCTTCTAAAATACGAAGACTCGATGCATAATTATGTTTTGCATCTTTTATTGCTTTTTGCAAATACTCCACTCTTTCTTTTTGCGTTGTTAACATTTGATCGCATTGAGCTTTCACCTCAAAATATGGCCTAGATTTAATGATATAACGACGATATTTTTCTTCCAACTGAAATAACTTTTGCTCCGCATCTTGAAAGATCATTGCTTTCCTATGATGTTCCCTACCGCATTCTGCTTTTTGATTTTCCGCGTCCATAACCTGCACATTATTTATTTATTATAATATTATTGTACAGGTTGAAATACTGAGATAAGCAACAAAAACTATTTACTTTAATAGTAGCATGATTCAACATGTCCTGCCAAGCTTGATCAAACTTCCATTCATGTTGATGCGATGTAAATCTTGTTTCGGCCAAGGCCACAGTTTCTTTAGCAGCTGCATGTATTTCGCTAGCTCTTTGAAATAATTGAGCTTGTTTTTGGCATTCCACCTAAGTAGATGTAATAAAAAACATGTAAAATAAATATTACAAATTTTCCTCTCTCTCTCTCTCTCTTTTTTATAAACATTATATCTATACTTATATATCAAGACTGACTTGTGCTAAATGAGCTATTTCCAAAGCTTCATAATAACATCTTGCTTTTTCAATACATGTTATTCCTAATTTGTCTGCTACTTCTTTCAATCGCCTTGTCGATTCAGAAAGCAATTGTCTAAATGCGGTATGTGCTTCCTGCATACACATACATATATAAATATTAACAATTATAACGGATAAGAAAAAAGAAAAATAATCAGACTGATATCTTATCTCGTTAACTCACATCTAATTCAGTCTCAAGTTTATTAATATCATCTGTAGCATTGTTTAAATTCTCCAACTCGATCTAAAAATAGAATACTTATATCATCATGATCATCTTAAATCATAAAATCATTATTGTCAATAAAATTATTAAATGAAAATAACATAATAATGTAAAATAATATAACATTAAAATTCATAGAAAGAGAGAAAGTATATAATAATGTTATTTTTAATCATATATACATATATATATAAATAAAAATTCACAATAAAACATAAAAGCATAGATAACTAGGCCATTGTACCAGGTAACAAAGTAGTACGGGCGTTACTTACAAATGTCAAAAGTACATAACCTTATTTTCGTATACATCAAATATCTATGCACGAAAATAAAATAAATAAAATATATGAATAAATAAATATAAAAACAAATGAAAAATATAATGATAATAATAATGTTATAATAAAAATTGATATTAATGAGTCACCTGTATACGGGGATCTAAAGATCCTTCGGCGTCCTCCGCGACGTCCATAGTTCGCTTTTTGCAACATTTAATAAATGTCAGCTTTAAAATCACATTGTTTTATTCATAATATTCATTAATACGTACGCATATTATAATAATCTCATGAAACTTTAAACATTGTTAATGTAATATTGTAGTATACATATTTAGGTTCCCATGTAACGCGTAATTAGAAACTTACTCACATTTCGAAGCGGCAGACATGTATATACTATTCATTGTAGTCAAAGCAGGTTATCCAACAGTCAGTAGTAAGTAGTAAGTACTATCAGCCACAGCCAGTACTAGCGCTATCATGATATAAGTCCACGTCAGATCTGCATGGCTGTTTGTAAAACTTAACCTGTAACAGTGAACAGTAGTGATCTGTTAAGAAAAAGAAAGTCACATATATAAATACATATTCATTTAAATATCTTCTCTTTCCTTTCTGAATATAATTAAGGTATTTTTTATTTTTTTTTTATATTAATCAGAATAATAAATTTTTCATTATAAACAAAAGAAATTGTTAGTATTTATTGTTTGATTGAAAATACCAGGTTTCTTATTTACCGGTTTGTTACAGTGATTATTTTCAAAGCAGTGTTTCAAAATGTATTGGACTCTGTGGTTACTTATTGGATTTTTTGGAGTAGATAATACATTTGGACAAGGTCAAAGAATTGCACCAGGTGTACCTCCTCAACATTATCAAGTTCAGCAGGTATATATTTATTCTTATTATCCTTAAGAAACATATGGTATACTTGGAATAAGAGATTCAATGTTTCCCTGTCTTTTAAAATTATATTTATTATAAAAGAAAATCATTTCTTATATGTTTCATTTAAAAAAAAATATTTTTCATTTTAATAGAATTTATTTATTTATTTTTTTTTTCTATATAGCCTAATCAGCAAATGCACCAACAAGTACCACAGCAAGTACCACAACAAGTACCACAACAAGTAAATCAATAATATAATATATAATGAAAATATATATGGTTAATAATATATAACAGCTCTGAATTTTTAATCTTTTATTTAATTTAATTATTGTATCTCTCTCTTTCTCTCTCTCGATATAACACCACACACACACACACAGCAAGTTCCAGTACAACATGTGCCAGTTCATCAAGCACCATCCGTACAACATGTGCCAGCTCATCAAGTACCTGTACAACAACAGGTACCTGTTCAAGCTCCTGTACAGCAACAAATGTACGATCACAATCATCAACCTCAACAAATACTTAATGCTGCCAATATAGCTCAAGAAAAAGCGTGAGTAATAGTAATTTTATAAATAAATTGAACATCAACATTTACAAGATATTAAGTTGAATTTTTTGATAACTTGCTATTTAATTTGTATTCAAAAGTAATATTCTTTTAGTCATATCGCAGAACATATGGAAGTTCCAATCGATACAAGTAAAATGACGGAACAGGAATTGCAGTTTCATTATTTTAAAATGCATGATTCAGATAACAATAACAAATTAGATGGATGCGAATTAATAAAATCTCTCATTCATTGGCATGGTAAATATAAAAATTATATTTCTACATGAATTAGATACTATATAAGCAATATGTTGTATTAATAAATAAATAATTTTTTTATACTGGGTGAGTCATTTAAAACAGGCCATCTGAATAACTCGATTGCTAATGGTGATAGAAAAAAATGTGTTAGGCGAAACTTACTTGGTTTCGAGGGTGGCGTAATATATGAAAGTCAATTCATCATTTTTATTATTGTTACATTTTTATTTTTGCTTAAAAGATAAAAAATAAAAACGTACCGTATAACAGTACGTTACATTTACACAATATGGAACTATATCATTCTCGAATCCAAGTAAGTTTCGTCTGATATATTTTTATCTATCATCAATAGCAATCGAGTTATTTAGGTAGCCTATTTTAAATGCTTTACCCGGTATATATATATAGAACAAAGTAATAAGGAACCTGGAACACCGAATGGCGGAGACAAATTATTTAAGGATAGTGAATTGATCAATTTAATCGATCCAATTCTTGCTGTAGATGACATGAATAGGGATGGATATATAGATTATCCAGAATTTATCCAAGCACAGCAAAATGCTGCTGCTAACGGTCGACAGTAATGAAAATAATTTCTTGTTATGGAATTATACAGAAAAAACACATTAAAATTATTTCATATTAAAAATGATACATTTTATATCAGTTTCATTAATTTTATTTGTTGAGATTTAATTAAATGCTTTTGCATTTCATATAAACATACTCTTATAGTCTTACATCTTGTTTACGGTTATAAGACATTTTTTTCTATAGCTTATTATATAGTCAATTTTACATATATAACTAAAAATCTACAAATGAACAGAGATGATAAAAACATTGAGTATACAATAAGTTACACATACACAGACAAATCTATATTTTGATATATATTAATAAAAATTAAATTAAAAAAAAAAATATACATATATATATATAGATTATATTGTGTATATGGAGTGTGAAAAAGAAAATATACCATTAATCTTTATTGGTATACCATATAAAACAATTATCAGTCACAAATATCAAAGTAAAAAGTAAATTTTATAAAGTGTATTGAAAATAATTTCTTTATATTCAGTCTATCGTATCATGTATTTGAAAATATGCAACCGGTTGATTAGATTAAAACAACGAAAAGGTGTGCATATAAGAATATAAATTAACGTATATATATATTACACAGAGTTGTATGCATAATTGCTAACAAATTTTTCAGGCTGCTAATATTCATTTTAAGGGATTTATTCATTTATTTAGCTGGTAATTTTTTTCATCACTCTGTATATATAGCATCATAAT